GGGTATGCTTTATATTAAAGACTAGTTAATACATTAATTAAGTTCTGTACCAAGAATCAAACACTAAGGCAGAAATAGACAAATTTGGCTTATCATATTGTTTAAATCTAGCCTTTATGATTTGTAAAACATAGTTCACAGCTTAGAGTGTAACGTAAACCCAGACAACTCTGGTTTATTCAACAAACTATTGTTAAAATAAACATGATTTTGTACAATTTCTGTCCTAGCTGTGAGTTCAACACATCTTGCTAAATTGTCTTTCAAGAAGGCAAGGGGAGCAGCAGTTAGTCTTGACTAAATTGCCTGAAGGTTTTCAGTGGGACATCAGTAGAGCCTTTTATCTGTATAAATAATAAATGAGCAGTCTCTGGCAGATGCCAATGTATAAATGTGATAATTTGATATTAAGTTTGCAGTCATTGGACCCTTGAGACTCTGAACTTGGAGAAAGTAGTTTGACATCAGCTTTTCCTTCTTCGATCATTGCCAATTCCATTATCAAAAATTCTGCCATTTGGTAAAGACTGAAGGCGGCATGGCGAGGGTTGGTCAGCTGGGGAGGGAGGTAGAATCTTAGGTTGTAAGGATTGGAAGGGACTTGGGAGATCATCTATTCCACCTTCCTTAAAAACAGTGCAGTACCATAGCATCATACTGAGATGGTTATCCAACCTCTGTTTAAACACCCCCAGTGGAGATTCCATCCCTGCCGTCCTTCTCCACATGCCCAGTATTTCAAGCACTTGTGAGGGTAACCTAAATATTTTTCCTCATGTTGTGAGTTCAGATTCTTTCTTTTATGAATCTGCTTTGCTTCACCAGAGCTGGAGCAGAGCTGATCTCAGGAACTGGTATTAGCAGGTTGCTGAAGAAGACAACTAGCAAGCAGAGGTTTAGTTTCTAACTTTGTGCCCACCTTGCTATCTCTTCCTATTTAGCTTTCCCCTTTGAGAGAGAGAGAAGTCACTTGATGAAGGAAAAGGAGGTGCAGCTTGGAATTGCTTTATCCTCTTAGTAGTGTGAACTGAGCACAGAGGAGCGAGGCATTAACTGTGAGGAAGAAAGGAAGAGGCACCACTAAGGGAACCTTGCCTAAGGATTCTAGCAAAATAGGGCTTCTTCCACTGCCTGATCCTTGAATTGTTTCTGAGACTTTGTATGTATGTATATGTCTATGCATGGTAAAAATATGATTTTTAGATCTCCATAAGCCAAGGATGGAAAATCCCTGGATTTACAGATGTTCCCCAGAAATCTCAGCATCCCTCACCAGTTTTTTTTTTTTAGATTTTTGATCCTGCCTTTATTATTTTTATAAATTACTCAAGGTGGCAAATACACCTAATGCTCCTTCCCCTTCCTATTTTCCCCACAACAACGACCCTGTGAGGTGAGTTGGGCTGAGAGGAAGTGAGTGGCCCAAAGTCACCCAGCCAGCTCTCATGCCTAAGGTAGGACTAGAACTCACAGTCTCCTGCTTTCTAGCCTGATGCCTTAACCACTAGACCAAACTGGCTCTTGGCTGTAGCTGCTTAGAAAAGTATTGCTTAGCAACTTATGGAGATCTGTAGGTTCCCCATGCCC